GGTAGTAAAAATGCTTTCAATAAGAATTTTTGAAAACTAAAATTGATTTTTAACCTAGTCCTAAAGAGTTGATAAAGGCTCCACGTCATCCTTTTCTAGGCAGTGAGGTCCCCTGAGTCTAGTCTAGTGGCCAATGAACCAGGGCATGGGAAATGGACAAGACAAGGTATGTCAAGTGGGGCCAGATGGCGTGATGTCTTAAAGCACAATAGACATGAATATGCATGCATGATCTGGAGAGCTACAGGGAATCGTTTGAGGGTGTAATGGACTCACAGCGGTGTGGCTGGCAGACTGTTTGGTAGATAATTTGCAGGACAGATTGGAAATGTGAGGCTCCCTCAGAGAGGGAATGTGAGGTAACCAAGACTTGAACAACAACAACCAAAAGGAACAAAGCAAAAAGGAAAGCCACCCAATGGCCCTTATCCACAGAGAGCCCCACAAGGTTCCATGAGGGGATGGCAAGACTAGGACGTGCAAAATACTTGGCTGAAGAGAACACAGGCGTTGTGTTTATTACAGAGTAATGGGATTCTAATGACATGTTTGATGTGGAACTCGCTGTATACATAAGCTTTTAAAGTTAAAATAAATAAGCCAGTAGATCATAATAAATGTGACTGCTTTGTTAATTGTATTGATAACTCCTCCACACGACCCTAATATATAATTTCTTTCATTTAATAGTATAATTTCTCCCATTTAGTACTGTAATATTGCCCAATGTAACTGCCTCATAGCACTTGAAGAAGAAATGTTTTCCCTTTTATCTAGAAAATGTCTGAGAGGCTTGCTGACTGCAACTCATGTGTACAGCTGTTCAGTTTGCAGTGTTTAAAAGTTGATGTAAATTATTTAGTTCATATAGAGAAAGGAGATTAAAGGAGCATTGTAGGATTCCACATTTTAGAAATTCTGCTTATCACTGTAAGCTGAATATTCTCTGGTATAATTTTCAATTAAAATTTTTGATTAATGCCCAGAAGTTATTTATAACATAACTCTAAATAATTTTCAAAACATGAACCAGAAAATGTAATAGTTATAATTACATAAATTGCTTTTCCTTGGATTTCTATATTTCCTTACAACCTTAGCACTTTAACAAAAAGGACAATACAAAATTACTCAATTTGATCATTCTGTGAGTCAAATGCAATGGTATTTGCTAATATCTTTCTGCAAGCCAATTTATGAGCAGAATTAGGAAAAGGATGAGTAAGCACATGAATTCAAGTTTATTGACATGCAGTGATGCTTACCATGGAGCAGATCCACTCCCATAGTGGTATGGTAGAACTGTCAACTCTTCCACTAACAGAAGGTGATGATGAAGAGATGGTATTGGTAAAATAGATAGCATTTTTTCAGTCATGACACTGGGCAAGACATTTGGCTTAAATTTTTTTTCTCATTTAATATGCATAATGGTAGAATAAGATAAATATTATTAGTTTCCATCTTGAAAATTAGGGAGCTGTATCTTACAACAGGTAAAATGGCTCAAGAGCATGTAGTTGGTAAATGGTAGTAAGATACTACGTATCTGTCAGTTATGTTAAAGTTCAGATAAAATTGTTATATGAAAGTGCTTTCTAGAAAGAGCCAGGCAAATATGAGACTCCATTATATTCCTTTCTTAGTCTTTTTAAAAATTATATGTTATCAAGTAGTAACTCAATATATGTTATCAAATAATTAGGACTTTATCAAAGTCAATATGAATTTTTAAGATAATGCCTGATGAATACAAAAGACATCAGCAACTCAATAATACTTCTCAGGATTATTGTAGAGTTTGTGTAGGTTTGGCAAGAAAAATCTGATCTCAAAATTACAATACTTGAGAGTTTCTAAATAGCATGTTGTACTTTTTAAATATTGACTCTGTATCTGGTGCCTCTGTGCTTTTATTACTCCTTTCTGTTCACCTCCATTTTAATTCCATTACATTGCCGAGTTTTGATTTTTCAGTGCCTTCTGGGGGTATGATGCACATACCACTACTGTGTGTGTTAAAAACCAACCATAACAATCTGCACATTTCTGTAATTAAAAACAAATCAGGATAATGCAAGGGACATTTAGGGAGTAGTGCTAATATGTATATGCCTTACATTAAAATATAATTATTATATTTTTAATGTATTAATGTTGTGTCTTGACTAAGTTTTTAAGTTATAGAAACCTGGAAACAATATAAAAAAAAAAAACTTGATAAACCAAGATTTACATTTTATATTATATTTAGACTGCAGCACAATAAATGCAAAAATGTTTAGTATATACTTTTACCAAGGAAAAAAAAGAGTCTACCCTCTTACCCCAATTCTCATTTTGCATTATTTCTCTGGAAATCTTCATGAATTTTTAGTGTAATTACTTCCAGCAGATGTTCAATTCCCTTATCCTGGTAATAGGAAACACAGTAGAGTGAAAGAATATCTTAAAGAAGAGTATATGAAAGAGTTTGGCGGTGTTCATGAAAATAGGCCAAACAAGGGGAAATTTTCAAGTTACTTTAAAGATGTCAAAATACATCTTTCAAGTTGATTAAAGTGATGAGTTATTAAAAACAGTCTTAAAATTATATTTTCAAAGAAAAAGGATAAGTGGATAGACAGTAACTTAAATATTAAATCCCATTTTGAATTCATAAAAAGAAATCCAAAGCATTTTCATTTTTTCAACCTTTTGTATAGATTATCACAAACAAATTAAACCAGATGTGCAGATGTGCTTCAACGTAAGATGTAAGCTGTAATATGTGGGCATTTGTTACTTCATTTAGTCCTGTGTTCTATATGTCATATAAAGTATACATTTTGCAGATTTGGTTAAAATGCCCAGAGTTTCATGGGATTGGGGGTGTGGTGGGGGAATGGGAGTTATATAATTGCAAAGCAGGCCTTTGGTTAGAGCATCATTTAACATAACTGTTAGATATGTAGTATCTTACTACCATTACCATTTACATGGGCCTCTGGGCAGCTGAAAGGCGGCTTTGGGCCAGACCAACGCAGAAAAGTGGCTCTGGCCAGAGCAAAGGCAGTGCCAGTGGCCAGGGGAAGGAAGGCCCACTCTTGCACAAATCTTTGTGCATCTGGCCTCTAATTAATACATAAGTGCATTTCAATTGACTTCTGGTTTTCTGTCTTGTTTTTCAAATATATGAATAAAGGATTATACATTAAGTTGATGCCCAATCTTCCATCAGTGAGAAACAGCTTTGAGTTTTTTAATAGTGATGAATGGTGGCATAGATAGTCACCCTTTATCACCTTAGGGTACACATTTCTGATATTCACCCAAAATTATGGTTATATTCTGTGGCAAAATAGATTAATTTTTGCTTGTTTGTATATCATTTCATTTTGTTCTATTGACCTCATTAGCACCCTACATAAACCAGCTAAGCTACCTAATTGAGACTTTTTCCACTCTATTCTGGTTATTTATTTGTAATTCTTCCAGTTATCTTTGGCATCTATTAACAGCTACGGTATTTTCTTTCTCATTGGCCTGTTGCATAATTCATTATATTCATTCAACAAATAGCAAATGAGTTTTCAAGGCAAGGGAGGAAGTAGAGTGAGATGAAGCTAGAAGTGGACACAACAGCCAGGTCATTTGAGGTTCTGTAAACTTTTGAAAAATCGGAAGTCACTGGAGATTTTTAAGCACGTAAGGGACACCATAATAATTCTGCCATTTCCTTACTTTGTCATTTTTGCCCTCCCACAATGGGTCCTCCTTAAATAGTGCTTTGATAATGCTACCCTGTCATTTACATTTCTGGCTTTTTCCAATTAATGAACTAATTTTTTAATGAAAGAAAAAGAAAAAACATTTAATTAAATTCTCTGGGTGTCACAGGAGTGTTTGCAAATAGAGATACCTATGAGTTGGATCGTGAAAACATATGATTCCTTCTATGGATAGAGTCATTATTTATAAGTGATGGCTCATCTCCAATAACTAAATAAAGAGGGAAACATTTAATTGAAGCTCCTTCTTATAAGTGTAAAATTACTTACTGGGAAAGTATCTGCAGCATACAAATACTTTCAACGATGTATTTGATCTCTATATAGCTAAGCTTGATATAATAGAAGAATATATATATTTATATATATATTTATATATATATATTTATACACACACATATATATATACACTAGTGGTTATATATAGATATAGATATAGATATAGATATACACACACACTCATATATATGGAGATATATATAATAAATAATATGTATATATTTTTTCTGGTGTGGTTTTAACATCTGGCTGGTCACTCTTTTGCATTTATATTTAACTAAGAACAAAAGGGAAATAACCTAATGTACCTTGGTACCCATCTGGTTTCAATTGCTCATTTTACATTTATTTAAAAACTAGAGGCCCAGTGCATGAATTCATGCATGGGTGGCGTCCAGCCGGCTGATTGGGAGGAGGTAACAGCAGGAAGTTGGCCGGCTAACACACCCTGATCAGTAGTGGAGGCTGGTTAAGGGTGGGGTCAGATGTGGGCAGGGGTTATGGGTGATGGGCTGGCTGGCCCTGCCCCTGACCAGAGTAGGGGGGCTGATTGAAAGTGGAGCTAAACTTGGGGGAGGGGCCACAAGCCAATCAGGGTGGTAGAGGTCCATCAGGGGCAGGCCAGCTGGGGGGGGGGGGGGCTTCAGGAAGTTGACAGGTTGGCTCTGCCCCTATTGAGGTACAGGGGAGGGGGGACAATCAGGGGTGGAGCCGGCCTGGGGGAAGGGCTTCAGGCTGATCAGGGTGGTGAGGGTCCATCGGGGGGTTGGTCAGCCACCCTGCCCTCAATCGGGGTAAGAGAGGCCAATCAGGGGTGGGATTGGCCACCCCAATTGGGTTGGTTCGGTGGCTGTAGTGGGCATCATAGCAACCAGTCATTAGGACATTCTGGTCGCTGGCTTTTTACATATATAGATGATAGATTGTTGACGATGATGATGTCTTTCCCAGGAGAAGAAGTTGACAGACAGCTGTGCAGAGATGCTATCTTCCCCATCCCTGTCGCCTGTTATGCCCCGTGCCCAAGGGACTGTGTGCTCACCATGTGGTCTTCCTGGTCTTCCTGCTCACACACCTGCTCAGGGAAAACCACAGAAGGGAAACAGATACGATCTCGGTCCATTCTGGCTTATGCGGGAGAAGAAGGTAAGGTTACCAGCTTCAGAAGGCACTTGGGTTCCTTTCAGAAGTTGGCATGCATTTTCTTTGTCTTGCCTGGATAAGATGATTCTATAGAAAAATCAACTTCCAAAAATCCAGCAATCCAAGGAGATTTTATATGTGTTAACATACCTGACATCTTGCTTCTGTTTTGGTTTGTTTTCCTGAGCAGGATGCAAGGGTGATTTCTTTTCTGGGTCCTTGTCCAGACGGATTTGAAGAATGAAGCCCCAGATAAGAGATGGTAGATGAGAAGGGTAGAAATTTATTGAAAGCAAATACAGACTCCCTGGTAGGGAGGGGGTCCCAAGAGGGTAACCCACGAAGCTCTTTGTTGTTAATGTTTATAAAGGCTGTAGTTATCTCTTGACACTCCCTTTTCATTGGTCATTCTTTTTCAGAATATCAGCTTCAAAGCCCAAATCCTACACATTGCCTCCTATTTTCTCTTGCTTCAGTAGTAAAATTCTCTGTCTTCTATGAAAATCTGTTTTCCTTTCTCCCATTTGTCAGCATTTCTCTATCCTCTGGGAAAGTTTGTTTCCTTTTTCCCCCATACCCTGTGGCTTTTTCTTATCTTCTGTCAATGGGAGTCTTCCTCTCCCCTTATGCGGCACCCCGGGATAAGGGGAGAGGAAGACTCCCATTCACTGAAGCGAGTGGCACCCCCCATCCCCCCCCCCCCCCCCCCCGCTGTGAATATATGCCTTCCTCCCTCCTGGACCCTCTTCATTCAGAAATATCCCTAAAACTGCCTATTTTATCCCTAAAATTCCTTTCATTTCTGTTCCCCAAAATTAATCTTAAAAGAAAATCTATACTGCCGAGATCGGTTTGGCTCAGTGGATAGAGCGTCGGCTTGGGGACTGAAAGGTCCCGGGTTTGATTCCGGTCGGGGGCATGTACCTTGATTGCGGGCGCATCCCCAGTGGGGGGTGTGCAAGAGGCAGCTGATGGATGACTCTCTCTCATCGATGTTTCTAACTCTCTCTCTCCCTTCCTCTCTGTACAAAATCAATAAAATATATATATATTTTTTTTTAAAAAAAGAAAAGAATATTTATACTAATAAAAGGGTAATATGCTAACAGACTGGATAGACCGGATATCTTCCGGACATCCTTCTTGACACATGGTGGTGGGGGCCAAAGCAGAGGCAGTTAGTGGCAATAAGGGGAGAGTGGTTAGGGGCAATCAGGCCTGCAGTGGAGAGCAGTCAGACATGCCTTGAGGGGTTCCAGATTGGAGAGGGTGCAGGCGGGGCTGAGGGATTCCCCCTCATGTATGAATTTCAAAAGAAGAAAGACTTTTAAACATGAGCTCACTCTGCCTTTTTTCCTACCTAATAATTCAAATTCTTTCCAGTTCAAAGCATTAAACTTGTGAAAGGTCTAAAAATGGCTCCTACAATTCCAGATGTCATGTTTCATTGGGTTTTCTCTCTTTTAGCAGTCAGTTTTTCTCTTTGAAATCACACTCCACCTTATAAATAGGCAAATATATTCAATAATAAACTTAATTTAAAAATAAACATCAGCATGGCTGATGCTTAACTGATTACATGAATTTTCAACCATTCAGTTTTCTGACCAGGGGCTCTGAGATCCACAGTCTCATATGTAGATTGTGCTCATTTAAAAAAATATGTTGCTCTTTGATCATTTCATCTTACTGGGTGCATAAAGCATGTTTTGTCATATATTCATACCTGACTTGTATTTGCTTCATTGTCAGGAAATAGAAGGCTCTTAGTAATTGTCTCTCAGACTTATATCCAAATGCTAATTTGGCATCTGTGTGGCTTGGTGATACAGTGTCATGCTTAATCTTGTCATTCTGGAAAAGAACACATGAGTAAGGAAAACACAGAAGTAAATCAACTTCAGTCACATTAAGGCATGTTCTGTCTTAGGATTATGTAGGTATATGTTATTTAAATGTGATTAAGCTGAATGGCTCTTCTCATTCATAGAACAAATGATGATTTCTATTTGTAGTAAGCATGTGTTTATGTATACTCCCAAATACTTAATTTTTGATGAGTTTTCAGGTTACCTCTTATATTTTTCTGTTTATGAAACAGTGATAAAAACCTGAGAGTATTATTATTTGATCCAACTTGCTATCTGTATATGTAACATCTGTACAAAAAATATAACTTCTTTGGCTTAAATCATGAAAGAAAAAAATATATTTTTAAAAAGTCAACATATAGGGAAATTTCCAATTTTCTGTAGTGTCCCACACTTTATTCCTGTCACTTTAAAATAAATGTATCTTTTTTGCTACACAAAAAAGGTGTATGAGTGGAACCTATTAGAAAAGTAGCCCCTTTTAGAGAGAAAATTATATTATTTGTGTTGTCAAACAATAACTCTAACCTTGTATAGGTTACTTTCAGACTTCAAACTCTATCAGCTCAGATTATGTCCTGAACTTCATTAAAATTAAATCTGTGGTCACCCTGCTTCCTATAAATCCATTATACTCTGCAGACACTTGCTGTGTGACTAGTAATGAGTGACTTTTTGCCCCATGAGTCACATGATGAAGATTTTGCCGTGCTAGCAGAACTCACCAGATCATTATTTCTGTAGACATGATGCTTCACACTGAAAGGTCATGAAATGCTTTAAAGGCAGAAATTTATGATTGCTCTTAGATATGTATCATCCACTTAGTGTGAAAGGGTGAGACTTCCATAATTTTTAATTAAGTCTAGTAGCTACATCCTAAGCAAGCTGTGCTGGAAAATCATAGGTGTTTATGTAGTAAATCATAAAGGCATAAATTCAAAACGTAACCACAGAAAAGCCACATCAATGGGGAGTCTACTGCTATTTGTCTCTGGTAATAACACTTATAAAACCTGGTGTAATTACATGAAACATTTAATGAAGATTCTAATCTTCAGAAAATATTAATTTAATACCTATTATTTGCTGGACTCTTACACATATTTTATCTTCCCCAAAGCAGACATTTTATCATTCTGAGATTTTTTTTAAAGTACTTAGGAACTAGATTTCTAGGAACTTTAAAATATTTTCCTGCAACTAGATAACCCTTCATAATTCTAAATAAAAGTAAGAGGTCTTTGTGTTATTCCACAAGAATTAGTGTTTTGTATTTGTCACAGATGTCTCTAATTTTCTGTGAATCAGAAATTACTGTGATCACATTAGCAAAATTACATATAGAGCTTTTAGACATGAATTATAGACATTTCTGGTGAAATAACTCTTGGACAAATTCATGAACAAAGTATTTATCTCGACTTTACCAAATAAATACAGAAACCTATACTTTTATTTCAGTCATAAATTTACCTTAAACATCATATGAAGATTATATAACCTCATAAGGAATAAATTTTGCTGCAGTAACAGACAGCTCAGAAGTTTCATAACTTAAAAAAAAATTATTTCTGCCTTGTAGAAATTTTGCTACTGGGTTGGTTAACTCTACAAAGCCATAAAATATCTCAGCATTGCACCTCCTTATAAAGAACTACTTCATAATCTCCATGTCTATGGAAGAAGGTAGTTGAGGTAATGTGGATGCTAATTTACAGCATCCACATTAAATTATTCCCTCTAGAAGTGCTTTATATCATTTCCACCGACATTTCATTGGAAATTATACAATTATGACTTGACGTTGGACCTAACTTCAAGCAGAGTGGAGGCAAATGTAATCCTACTGTGTGCTAAAAAAAAAAGGAAAAAAAAAAAAGGGAGTGCTGGCTGCTGACCTTACACCTGCTTACTTCAGTCTTCTTATTGTGTGTATATGTGCATATGTTTGTCTACATCTATGTCTATATCTCTGTCCATAGATATATGATGAAGGACTATTCCATGTGGCCTAATTCAGTAGAGAAACCAGGCCTCTCCATTGTTAAAATGTTATGACTTTTATTGATTATTTCTTTATTCTTATTAAATAAAATATAACAAAATATAACTTCTTCCTCGTATTATACTTGTGCTGTGCCAGCACAGCCAATGGTTTGGCGAGCCTGAGGGATGGCAGCGAAGGATGTAGAAAAGACAAAGAGAATAATCTGGGTCTAGGTGGATCTCTGTTCCTGACTAAAGCCAAAGAGAAATATCTAGAAGGCAAGCTGATGCTTTATTTTATAGTCAGAAATAAACAAGGTAGTGGTCACCATAGTTACAATGTTCTTGTGAGTTTCACTTGTTTTGGCAGCACTTGCTGCACCTCCCACAGCCCATTAGCTACCCAGGAAGGATCTAGGGAGCGTCATAAGGTCAAACGTAATTATGCTAAGAGGGCTGTGCCCTCTAAGCTGGGACTTATTTATGGCTTTGCCAACAGGTCAGTCCGAGGCTTAACCCTATAGCCATTCCCTACAATATGTCTTTCTTTTTCCTTTCCTTTCCCTTTTTTCTCTCCTTCCCTCTTCCTTTCTAGCCTTTTTCTTTCAGTTCTTGAACAGCCATTAGGTGGAGCCAAGCAGTTGAGCATCTATGCCAGCAGGTGGTTTGGGGAGGGGGAGTAGAGTCTGAAGTGGTCCAGAGTGGGTTGTCAGAGTCATGCTTGGGTGAGAAGGGCATCCCCCATGGGAGGAAAGTGGCCTGGCACAAGTGTCAGAGGCACAGAGTATGCTTAGCAATGGGAGATAAGAATTGTATGAGAGGGTAGAAGTGGAAACCTAACACAGGGCATCAGAGTACAGGCAGAGTGAAGAGGGAATCCCAGCACTGAGGCAGCCAGCCAGTGTGGAGTGCTGGGGCCAGGCAAGGGTTGAGAAGGGTTTCTGTAATTGGGGTTTGGCCTGATGCAGGGTGTCAGAACAAGGCAGGGTCATGAAGGTATCCTGTGCATACAGCAATGGAAATGGCAGAGAGAGATTGGTGGTGGGGAGAGAGGATGAAATAAGTACATGGGCCTGGCCAGTGGGCATGGACAACGGGGGAGGGAGGGAAGGGAGTGAGGGCATATGTAGGGAGGGGCTTGGA